ATAGAGAATTGAAAAGTCGATTCAGTCGTAACAACGTGAGTGAGGAAATTCCAGTAGTTTTGACACAGAAAGCGAAATTTGAATATCAGACACTTAGGTTCAAGATTATGCCAAAATTTCATGTTTTTCGTCCCGTTTTTGCTCATTTCTCGGAGGCAAAATGAGCAAGAACGCTCATTTGCACATCATTCTAGACAGAAATAAATGGCCTTTTTAAAACGTGAAACATGGATGGGGAATTGTTGGCGGTTTTCTCAAAAAAATCTTGAATTCAAGAAGTTTTAGATTTGCGTGATTTTTTTTTAAGTCTTAAAACCGCCGTATCTCGAAAGCGGTTGAAAATCTGTTGAGACCCATGAACTATTCTGATAGGGCGTTTCGAATCCTAGATTTGCCTCTTCAGGCCAGCACCGAAATTCCTAACCTTTAAAGATTTAGACTCACTTTTGTTGAATTATTGAAGATTTTCCATCGTATCAGAAAAAGTAAACTCCGGGGCTGCGCCCAATCGGACTTGAGCCCGTAAATTCGCCAGAGAAAGACAACAGCAGGCGTTGCTGCCGCATCCGCACAAATTCCCTCGTTCCACGAGTTTTTGTTCAGAAAAACCCTTATTATCCTGTGGCAATTTATTAATCAGACAGTACTGTAGCAAAACGAACCAAGTGACTTCAATCAATTAATGATAAATTGACCATTAAGCTTGACCATCTGGTGCATATTAAGTGCAACCCAAATGAACTGGAAACCCATTAAATTTGAACTGATACATCCGTTAAACCAACCGCTTGAAAGGAAAAGAAACGACGGTTTAGCGAAACCGTACAACCTGATTTCTTATGCAATATTTAATGCGAACTCATTAGACTTGGATGGCTTGAAACAATGCGAGTTTAATTGAAATAATCATAGAAAATCGGAAGAAAATTGCGCTTCAATCATTCCCATACTGATGGTTGTTTTTCCGATGCAATAAACTGAGTCACTTTGCGCATACTTTGATTCATCATCAAAGTCGCAAACATTTCCCCATCGAAATGCACATATTCCAAGGCAATTTGCGCATTTAATCCTCTGCTTTCCTGCAATTGGCATGCTAAAGACCACAGGACTGGGAGGCTTTGAAATGACACGAAAAAATATAATTTGTTTTTCCATTCTGCAGGTCCGTACTGTGAAAATGCACATTTTCACATTCGTCCAAGTGATGTGCCTGATCATGCTGTGGGTGGTCAAATCCACTGCAGCCTCGCTGGCCTTTCCATTCTTCCTCATTCTGATGGTTCCACTGCGCGATCAGCTGAAGAGGATTTTCTCCCAAAAGGAACTGCGAGCCGTAAGTATTTTTTTTCCTGATGCAACTAGCAGGAAACTGATAAATCAGTCACAGTTTGGGGAAAAACCAATTAGATTTAATGGGCCAGATGTTGGGGTTTTCACTGCTCTAAACAGAAATTCCGGCCTGCAACTCGAGCGACTTTTCAACACTTTCTCGGTTTATTTGCATTGCAGTGCTCGGAACTTTATTTATGGATAGCTTTTGCTGTCGATTTGAACACTCGATAGTTTTCAAGTCATTTGCATGAATTTACGTCGACTATTTTGAGGCTTCAAGCGCCTTTATTGCAAAAATTGGCGAGTGAAAGTTGTGAAAGATCGGCGCTTTTACCAGAATTTCCTGAAGAATGTGGTAGATTGAAGCTTTTGGTGTTGAACATAATAGAAACTGTTTTTTTATAAACGAGGCCTTGCCCTTTCCAGGGAAGTTCCCCGATCGTTTCTCTTGCAATTTGTGATTAGCCAGTTTAAAAAAATTCCTCTGTGGTTCCTGATGATGGTTGCCAATTGAAACTTTCAGAGTTTCTAAAACCGATCTCGGTCTTTCCAAAACAGTTTGCTTCAAGTTTGCCTCTCAATGCACTCCGGAAATACGAAAGTTTGAAAACATAGAGCCGCTCTTGTGCTTTAGAAAAATTTATCGATTTTTTAATTTTCTCTGAAACTCCTGAAGACGTTGAAAAGTCCAAATTAATAGGATTTGTAGATAAGGACAAGCTCTTTCTGGAAATATTTTGAGCAAGTTTTCCACTCAATTTGGACCGGAGATAGGAATTTCCAAACTTTCATCGACTTTTTTACTCATAAAAAATTGATGAATTTCGGAAATGTCCTCTAAAATTCCTGATCATGGCGGCCTGCTGAAACTTTTTGAATCTATAAAGGAGACTTTGCTCTTTCCAAGGGAGTTTTCCTCAAGGCCCTCACTCAATTTACCCGGGGGACGCAAATTGTTCGGCGTAGATCGGCACTTTTCCACATGATAAATGAACGAGTTTAGAAAATTTCCTCTCAAACCCCTGATGCAAGTGAAAAGCTGAAATTGGCAGAATTTATAAAATGAACTTTGCGCTTTCAAAAAAAAATTCCGAGAGTCTCTTCATTGGCGACAAAGATACGAATTTTATAACTTAATTTATAATTTAATTATTAACATTTTGCCGCATGAACTATTTTTTCTGGAATATATATTCAATTTTGTCTTTCAAATTTTGTGGGAAACACGAATTTTCAAACCGACTGATTTCGAAAACTTGCTCTGAAATCCCTGGTGATGGTCGCTAACTGAAACTGTTTTCAAAAGTCTATATAGAAGAGATTTGGGTTTCTAACACGAAGGTATCCTGAGTTATTTTTCAATTTTACCCGAAGATTCGAATTTTCAAACTTAGATCGACACATCAAGCATGAGAAATTTATCATTTTCAAAAATTCCTGCTGACATCCCTGGTGAAGACGGAAAATGCAAATTTGCAGCATTAATAAAACGCGCTTTGCTCGAAACACTACCAGAAAACATACTAAGTTTATACCTTAATTTGTTCTTGAGATACGAATTTTCGAACTTAGATGAATACTTTTGCACGTGACAAATTTTCAGCTTTGAAACTTTCCTCTGGAACCCCTGTCAAAACTGGTAAATTGAAACCTTTTTTGAAAGTTTTTTTAAAGTTCCTTCTGAATTTGTGGAGTTACGAATTTTCGAACGTAAAGCGGCATTTTAGTTCATGAAAAATTTGCCTGTTTCGAAAAGTTCCCATGGAATCCCTGTTGCAGGTGACAAGTTGCAACTCTCAGGATTTATGCCAGAGTCTCTTCCTTTTCTAATGAAACTATCCTCAAGTTTTTCTCTTAATTTAGCCGAGAGATTCGAATTTTGTTATCTTATATCTGCAATTTTACTCATGAAAACTGATCAAATTCAAAAAATACCCTTGAAATGCCCGATGATGGAGAGAAACCGAAACTTACATAATTCATAGAAGAACCTTTGCTCCTTTCAAAGAAAATTTCCGTAAGTTTCCCGATCAATTTGCGTTTGCACAAGAAAAATGAACCATTTAAACTGTTCTCTGGAGTTACCCAAAAACCCCTGATGATAGCAGGAAACTAAAACTTTCGGGGTTAAAGCAACAACACTATGCTTTTCCAAATTAAAATCTTCTCAAGTTTGGCGTTGAATTTTCAAAATTTCGCTTGAAACTTTCATGTGAACTTGTGTGCGTCGCTCATGTAAAATTTACCAGATTGCCAAATTTGGCATAAATTCCCTGATGCTGCTGGGCAATCGAAACTTTTCGCGTTCATAGCAGGGGCTTAACTTTTTCGAATGCAATTTCCCTTAAGTTGGCTTTTTAAGCCGATGGGACGCTACGAATTTTCAAACGGAGATCCACACTTTTGCTCTGTATTAGGCCCGATTAAGAACATTTCCTGTTAAATCCCTGATGATGGTGGCCGATTGAAACTTTCCAAGTTCGTAGAAGCGACCTGGCACTTTCCAGTGAAATGCTCCCTGAGTTGGCATCTCAATTGATCTTCGAGACAGGAATTTTCAAACTTTCAAAGACATTTTTTTGCTGAAAGCTCCCGCCCCATTTTCTGCCCTCTCTTAATCTTCATCTTCATCAAAATCATCAAAGATCTACTTCAAAAACACCGTAAAATCTTCTACGCGTCGACAAAGACAATCGAGCAATCCAGCCAAAGCCAGATCGATCATCGAGCATGAAGACAAAGAAGCCGGAAAAAAGGTCTCGGACAAGGTCCGCTGCCGAAAGCCTTGGCCTTGCACGTTTTACCATAACAAAATGGTCGAGCAATAAATAACGACGGATTTTTTGGGCAAAATCAGGCCACTAATCCTGGGCTATTAAAATGCTTGGCACATCGATTCCAAAGCCCCCCAAAATGGGGAACCAAACAGTTAGTTGCGGAAGCGTGCAGGCATTTCTTTATGTAATAATTTCGCATTTCCGGCCCGATTGCTTATTTAAGTATGCCACAATTTTTCGGTCAGATTTGATTAATTTGCTCTGTTTCAGTTGGATGGAGATCAGCCCGATGCGGATGATGATGAGCCCGATTTTTACGCCGAAGCTCCCCTACCAGGCTAAGAGGACCGAGGACTACACGATTTGCTGCAAGCAATAATTTTTAAGATAGAGCTCACAGTTTTCGATCATCCAATAGTGTGGATGTTTGGCAGTTCCACTAGCTGGTTTTTGCCGGTAGTTTCTAGATAGAATTTCCTCCCCCCAAAAAAACAGTAACTACCTACCTACTAGGGACATTTTGGGGTTTTTCGACCAGTTTTTTCCGTTTCGTATACTCATCTTCCTATTGCGATTGATTGGCTGTTATACGATCGGCCAAATTTCAACTTAGTGTTTTAAGACTTCGACTATAAAATTGCTCATAGAGCGGTTAGTTTTACCATTCCGAAATTAATCCCACTCAAAGTTTCATTCTGGACCAAACGCCTGGGTTGAACCAAAGTAAACCTGTTGGGAAAATTTTGATAAATGTGGCGAGCGAACCAGCTTGGGCACTTTTCTGGAAATAATCCCCCAGCAGGAAGGTTTACTTTTGGGTCACCCTATAAATATATAGATCAACTGGCACCGACTAGGTTCTACTAGGAGCCAAAACGTTGACGAAGCTCAGTGGTTCAGCTGAGTTTTTTGCCTCGTTAGTGTACAGTTTCATATATTCTATAAAGTGTTGGAGTG